ATAAACTTGCTTTTTAAATCTAAAAACTTCTTACACCTTTTGTTACCTTCGTTACAGTTAGTAATAATGTATAGTAACATATATAGTAGACCGCGCTTGCAAAAAAAACAAAATAAAATACGCTTTCAATATTCATTTTTCAGAGGCAAAGGTCAAAGATTTTGGATAAATGTTTCCTAAGTCATGCAAAGTTATTTCGTCCCCACTTTCTTCCGCTCGCGCAAAGCATTACAAAACCAAAGAAAGTGTAATCCTTCAACAAAAAAAAAAAAAAAAACAATTCCTATCATGGACTATCATGCATCGAAAGTAAATTTCGTTATTCAATTATTAAAAAAAGATATTAACTTTAGGTTAAAGATTTAGGTTAGGCTATAATCCTGTAAGCTGCTTGCAAAATATGCTTCGAGCTATTAAAGATAATCTTCGCTTCATCAATAAATTGAGTTTCGCAAGCATGTTGTTTATAGCTGAACATTGTTAAGAGTAGTCTCACACACAATCTTGCTTCATGATAAGCACAAAAATGGTTTTTTTAATGTGAGATGTGCCAACGTTTGTTAAAGGATTAACAAATTATGCGCATGACTGCGATCGCAAAATTTAAAAAAAATATTCTCTCAACTTATAAATAATTCTTTTGATCTGTCATATACAACTGCTTTACCTATATAGAGTGACTTTACTATGCGGTCTGTGCAAAGTATGTAATGCTTAATAATAGCAGCGAATAGTTCTCTTATAACGTTAGATAAGGTGACCAGACGTACCCTTCTATTGAGCATTGCATTTCCCTTCTTCAGATGTTTATTATTTGGATTCTTGTATGGGTTTTTACAAACTGAATGATACGTGCGTATGTGTAGGTATCAAACGATTTTATTTTCTTGAAACTTTTTGTAAAAAAAAAAAATGAATAAAATTTCCCCTTGTTTGGAATGCGTCAGTTGGGTCTTCAGTGCCTCAGTACGTAAATGTTAATTTTTCTCTTTTATTCCGTCACACAGAAGCCATAATAATGTTGCATAGCTTTTTGGTTTCGGGTTGGCAGAAACCCGCCTTTAGGGTTTGAGTAAACCTATTACCAGCTGATGCAACAAATCACCTTATTCGGCATCATTCTTATGCAAAATCGATTGAGCGTCATTGACTATTTCTCCCTCCCTTATTTCTCACATCCTTTTTAATAAAAAGTTTCTGATCACCTTAAACTTAATCATGCGCTTTCTGTAAGCCAGTCAAGAAAGCGGTTAAAGGTGAAAATCATCTGCATTTAATTGGTCGGCTCTTCCATAAAAAATTTATCGCCTTTTTACTGTGTACTTGAACCTACATTGAAGGTTGCGTTAATGTGTGTGCACCAATAGGCCAATTTCAATTGATTAGCATTGAACATTATGATTTAACTGAATGCGACTTGACACCAGTCCAGTAAGGAAGGACATCACCTAGTTGAAAAATGTGACGCCGTTCGGCGGTTATCTGTAGTTTTCCAGCTTTAGATATCTTCGCGGTCTAAAAACAAAAGCTATATAAACCTGGTCCAATATGCTTCTTCGACCTTTCTACAATGACGCTGTGCTGCAATAGTTTATGATCTAAATATTATCCGCTCATAACGAAGCTGGGCTTTGTTTTTACTGAGCGTAATTTAATATTTTTTTAAGAGCTTAAGAGAGTCGTTTTTTGGTTTTTAGCATATTAAGTTTGTGTCTAGATCTTCTTCTTCTATCTTTCGATTCGCAAGCATTTTCTTCCATCGAACTTAGGTTGTGCGTTCGTGTATGTATATGGTAAGGTTTTCAACCTACAGATTGCAGTTTTTAAAATATTTTTATGACATCTAGAAAAATGACGTGTTTTGGTACCAAGCGGAAATGTTGATAAAGCCTAAGATGATCCGGATCGGACCACTTCTCTTATAACGCCTGCTGATCGTTTCAAGTTAAAAAATAAGGACTACAAGCTCGCAAAGTGGAGGGAAAATTGAAAGAAACCAATTCGTTATTCCTACTAATCAGTAAATGGCTTTAACTATGGCCTTATTATTCGACCCGCTACCATTAAAAAAATTCGCTAAAGCAACTTAAAGTTGTTATAGTTAATTACCCGCCTTTCTATTCTCATTGCTATGTTTAAGTAATAAGGAAGAGACTATCTGATGATTGCTTACCCCATAAACTTTCTCAAAACTAACGTAAAAAGTTATGATTGCAAAACATGTTCTTAGTTAGTTAGTGACGACTGTTCACCTGTTAATGGACAGCATGAAATTGATAACAAAGAGAGAAACGGATATCAAAGAGATCGTATAGAGTACACGTATTTTCGGTAACTATTTATTTCTCATGTATTTAGCTACTGACGTTAAAACTCACGATTGTTAGAAATAACTCACTAACTTGTTTTGAGGGTCAATCTCGGATCCAATTTTAGTATTAGAGGAAATGGGCTTCTTTTTTTAATGACCAATCACTTAGGGGATGTCTTGCCATACATGAAACACGGGGCGCTACTCGGAAATAGGTCGGGAAAGACCCATAGGGCAGTAGTTTTCCTTTATATATTAAAGTCCTAAACGAGATCAACGCAGTCATTAGCCACAGGGCGGTGAGAATTAAAATTACTTTTGTAATCGTTTTAGTTACGAATACTGTTCGAGTTTGTCTCTTGTCTCTTCGTTCGCATTAGGTCGGAAGCAAATTTTTCTGTTCATTGGATAACAACGCAAACCTTCCAGCGCTCAGTGGCGGACGATAATATTAAATTTCTCAGATTTTTGCTTTACATATGTAATTTTTAATATTAATTTTTTTTGTTAAATACTTCAGAACTTTCTTCCCAACGTAAGAGCTTACATGTTACATCAGAACGTTTTAGATCATTGGCTATGGCGTGGTCTTGAAAAAGTTCAATCAAGTCCAAAAAAGAAAATCCCTGCGTCTCTAAGATATTATCGCGGAAGTGAAGTGCCCTAACCTTCAATAAGGACAACATTAAATTGGCTAATTACATAGAGGACCAGAGGACCGCTGACTCCCAGAAATTCTTTTGATGCCTGCAGCATAGTTACAAAAAAATTTCGTTCTTTTGCTTTAGGTTCTTAAAGGCATTGCAATAAAAGAACTTATGGTAGTTACTAAAAACCCCTCTAGCTTTCACTCGTGGATTTCTTGGAGGGCAAACATCTCCAGTTAAGATTTCTATTAGCCTTTGAACAGACAGCAACCATAATATTTAAAAATGACAATAATTGCTATTTCCATAACACTTGATAATTATCGTAATTAATAAAACCAACTCGTCGAGCAATGAAAATAGGATGAGGGTGACTTTGGATTATCAGAATGGAAGGCGATGTCTTTCCTAATTTCCGATGATGCGGATTTCTTTTTCACAAACCTTCATTATTAGCTGACGGCACTATCTGAAACGAATATTTGGTGATCTAAAATTAATTATAATTTTATGAAATGCTTACTTTACTACTTTAGAGTAATGGTATGATCCCGATTCATACTTTAACTTTGGTTCATGTTTATCTTTGTCAAGTTATCGAATTTTGAATGGTTGACTTATAAATGATTTAAGGCTTTTCGAAAATTGTAGACTGCCTGACGCGAGAATAAATCTAGATGCGCTCTAAACTAGGCTTTGCCAGAGTAGCTTCAATACGATTGTCGGCAGTCTGTGAGAATGAATGCTCGATCGGTAAAGGTTTAGCATTCATCCATTAGTTAGCATATATTTTCCTCAGCCATCGGTCACAGCCTATCTTTCTCTCTTTCCGGCAAGTTCTTCTTGAACTTCACTATGTCTATACGGTTATAGAGGTTATGCATTGAATGGTGGGATCGGTTGAAAAAAGAAAAATGTTCCAGTTCTTCCTTGAGCTGACATTTTTTTCTATTAAGCGATTCCTTTGGCGAACTGCATTCGGCATTAGATTATTTAGATTCTTTCAATTGCTGGACGTACATAAGCACCGTATGGTGTGTTGCAATCGAAAACTATACCCGGGCAGGAAAAAAACAACATTCAAGTGAGACACTTGCGCCAGAAGGCTTGGCATTCATCCAGAAGAACGCTTTAAAAAGTACCATATCTTGAAAAGATCGTTAATTGCAGTAGTATTCTGTTAAGAAATAAGATGTAGACATTTTTACATATTACAATACGAGTTTTTGCGCCTTCTTTGGAAATTACTTAAGGAATTACTGGTGGGTAGGAAAGCATTACAGCAAAGCAAAAGGTTGAAAAAGCCGTCTCTCTCTCTCTCTCTCTCTCTCTGCTTTGGTCAACAACGTGTTTTGCAGCCCAATTAAATTTTATTGCTTAACGTTTTCATTTACTTTGGTATATTAATTCTAAGGATTTTCCGTTTTTTTTTCATCTTTCAAACGATCTGAGTTGTCGAACAATTTTTTTCCACTTGGAGATTTTCATTCGAAGCAGAAAGCTTATTAGAAAGCCATGCATTGAGGCTTTCGAACAGGCAATGTACGTTAGAGTTGGCGGACCCTGTCTAAAGAATCAGGTTTGTTGCGAAGGCAATCCCTATTTGACTTCAGAGAGATTTTGCATTGTGCGCCGCGATCGGGGCAGTTTTTACGTGTCTATTGCTTTTGTACTTTTTGCAAAATATTTTCTATCCACGACACGAAATTCACTTTTTCTGTCTAGCAAATACTAAACAAATCGGGAAAGTCGTAAAACTCCGGTAAAGAATTTGTTTTGTTTGCCGTTCTCTCTTTGGACGCACCGCGCTCGATGATCATACTAATACCGTTTTACTTCGTTTTTACTGCTTGTCCTCCTTGTCGTTGCGCCCTTCGTAGTATCTTGTATTCCTTTTCACACCAGCGATAGAAGACCGACGACTTAAAAACCTTACAAAGGGATGTGGAGAAGACATAAAAAGCTATTTTGATTTTTATCCGACTAAGAGATATGAAATGAATAATAAAACAAAGATCTTTCGTTTCATTTATGAGAACGCACACATACACATCCACCTGGGTCGTATTTATTTAGTTTTATGCAAAAAACGGCTTTACTTAAGTATTTATTTTAAACAGTACTTGAGATGGCTGGCGGACATATCGTTATTGCAATCTTCTAATGATAAGAAATTTGCATTTCTTTGCTTTATTTTTGTTTTTCTCTTCATTTACATATATATTTGGCAGCTGACAAAAAAAAAAAAAAAAAAAAAAAAAACGCAATCAAATTTGGCTTTTGTTTTGACTTTTCGCTCACTTCTAATGTATTTACTGAGAAAAGAAAAATGAATTTTTTCAGTGTATTGTTAGCCATGTTATGGAAAAGTCCAGGTTTTGCTGCTGTGAAGCCTTTCAAGCTGAATCGCATACAAGTTTTCCATGACCAACAAATAACCAAACAAATCCCGTTTCGTTAAGGCAATGTAACCCCAAAAGTGAACGGAGTCCAATCACTTGCATGCACGCATACAAACAAACACACATACGCACACCAACATAATATATACATATATATATATCAAATGGCTTATACTGTTCAGTAAGCGCCCTAAGCTGCTTGCCAAAACCAAAGCCAACACATATACATATAAAGACATGCATTTACTTATACACTCGCTCGCTCGCTCGCTCACTAACTACAGCACGACTGGTTGTTGAAAAGTGGAAAATGACGTTTTTCTAGAAAAACACAATTTTTTGTTTTTTTCTTCTCTTTCTGCCAAGATATTTCTTCTAATTTTTCGTATCTTTTTTTTTTTTTAAGTCAACTCCAACAATTTCGTTTAATCGTGCATAGGTATTTGTGCTTAGGTGGATGGATAGATTTATATAAGTTAGTTTGTTTGTTGTGTGTTTTGTTGATATTTCTGTGCTCTTCGTGTGTTCGTTCATGATATTTTCTTTCGATTAAAGGTTTTATTAAATGCGTGCGTGCAACTGAAAAGATTGTGAGAAACAAAAAAAACTATAACGAAAACACTCATAATAGTAACTAGAGATGTAGAGAGAACGAAAGCGACAGAGAGAGAGAGAGAGAGAGAGAGAGAGGGTGAGAATGAGAAATGAAATGCAAAAGATGAGCCTGAAAGAGAAAAAGTTCACACAGAGCAGTATGGTAACGAAGAGCTAAACGCTTAGAAACGAGTGATTGAAGTGTAAACAAAAAGAAAAAAAAAAGAAAGGTTAACAAGTTTTAAACTAGTTTTGTGGTTAAATGCCTGAAAAAGAAGAAAAAGAAAATAAATAATAAAAAAAAAAAAAAAAAAAAAAAAAAAAGAAAAGAAAAACAAAAACAAAATGCTAAAAACGCGTAACTATAACGTATAAACGAAAGACTGCTGAGCTGAAACTTTTTTTTTTTTCATTTTCCTAACGAAAAATAGAAAAAAAAATTGAGAAAAGTGCAAACATGACCTGAACGAGTGCGCGAAAAATTAAAAAAACAGGAAAAAAGTGATTTTCAAAAAACAAGATTAAACGTGAAAATCTCAATTAAATCTGGCTTAAAAAAAAAAAAAAAATTGTTTCTATCACATTATTGCACACGGTAATCAAATTGTGAAACGTAAAATGTCTACGGGGCCAGTAAAAGTTTTAAAACAATTTTTTTCTATATTAAACATTGCTTATCCATATCTGTAAACTTATCCGTTTGTGTGCGCGTGTGTGTTTACTGGCTACACAAAACAAAACTCAATAAAATCTCGTAATAAAACAAAATACCTGTCGTCTGTGTACAAAATAACTTTTATTAAAACTACAAACTACTGCTACTGCCACTAGTACTACCACTAGTACTACAACGTATGTTCTACGTACGTACACATGTACACTTGTAAAAATCAACACCAAATACGATTTGTTATATATATGTGTACGTTCATTATTTTATTGGAATATCATACGCAACATAACATTAATTTGTAAGCGTTGTGTGCTTAATACAGCCGCCAGCAACATCGTCAGCATCACCATTATTTTGACTGTCGTGATTGTTTGACATCAAACAATTCTACCAACTTACAAATAGTGATTCTTCTTTCTTTTTTTTCTTTTTTTTTTTTATTTATTTATTTTATTTTTGTTATTTTTTTTTGCGTTTTCGCTCGTACTCTCTTGTTATTTGTGTTTGTATTTGTAAACATGATGGCAACTTGGAAATACTTTCTGATCGGTGAGTATCAAGCCAGCAAGCAACTTTGTTACATTTTAAGTGCATTTTTCTTTTTTACATTCAAACATAGTTTTAATAAAACTCCTCTTTTCAAGTAGCACATATATATATATATATATATATATATACATATATATATACACATATATCCATCTATCTGCAAACAGTTCACCTTACGTAGCATCAGAATTTTGTTATCATCTTATCGCCAATATGGACGTTATGCGCCAGTTAAGGACAATTTGCTAAAAATATTAGATTTCATAGGTTTATGTACCCTACACCACTTTTAGTATAAAAATATATCAAGCTTGTGCGGACATGCGGCAACACCTAGAAAAACTTGAGATTTTTTATTAACATTTTTTCTTATAACGATCGACTCAGAATCAATTTTGTGAAACTGTTTCAGCCTCGCTGTCCATCTGACCGACTTGTTTTCTTGTGTTCAACCTACAAGCCGTAATTTCTAAGAAATTTCGATTTGGTACACTGAGGCGTTTTGCCCCACGTATGAACGCTATGGAAAATCCTCAGGATCAGACCAGCTTTTCGACCACTTCCCATGTAATGCCTAGAAAAGATTTTACATGACTAATGGTAGAACAGCATAGAGTATTTAATGGTTGGCCGTGGCAAACTGTAGGATTTTTTCTTCTTTACTTTTTTATTTTCTAATATGATCAATTACTGAGGGCAGGTCAGTTACATGTGTAACAGGATGACGATCATAAAAAAAGCGGGGAAAATGAAAGGGGCACGGAGTGACTGCAGCCTATTGCGAGTGTGCTTAATCGGTAAATGTTATGGCTTTACCACCGGAGCTATAGCTACGACCAAGTATGGTCCACCGCACGAAGGACTCCCGCGAAATGTGACTTGGTAGCCGCCATTCTTAACTCCTATCATACTCGCTCAGATTTTGTTAACAGTCATAAAATATGTTTTTATATGACCATCCACTCAAGGGATGTTCCCTACACGTGCGGACACGTTGGTCTTCAGAGGTTGCAATTTGCTCAGCTTTCTTCTCGGGTTTCCACTTAATACTTCTCGGTTTATTTCCATACATTCTTCAGCGATCGGTATTCTGCTCCCGACATTCGATAGACGAATCAAATCGCTGAATCGCTTAATCAAATTCGCTACTCTTTGCCTGACCTTAATTACGCAGTCTTCACTAAGCGATTATAACCGCAACGAAAAAATCCTTGTCAGCTTATGCCGTTGCTAGTTTTTTTGTGATAGCATGACATGGAAAATACATAAACGTATGAAAAGAATTTTATCTACGATCGAGATTTACTTGAAGTAATCGGCAACGCGAGCTTGTGCTCAAGCACTGTTTCTTCCTTCGTGCATCTAAGTAGGTATTGATCGAATGCGTGGATACGACCGGCAATTGCTGTCTAACTTTAACGACGATCATCTCCTTCTTAATGCCGTGGACCGACTTGAAGCGATCGATGTAAAATAGTAACCTCGATCCTAGTTTGAATAAGAAGTTATGACCTTTTTAACATTTTTCATTCGATAGTGAGAAGAACGCGTACTTTATCGACAGATGTGCATTCACGACTCGTTGCCGCGGCTCAATAAGATTTGTCCGTAATACTAAAATGCCACCCACAGATACGATAAGCTAAAATTGTTCGCGACCGTTCGCGAAAAGTTGTTACAAGGTAAACTCGCAACGGGCGAACCCGTTTTATGTAAAATGCTTCACGTCGTTTACCGCTTCGGCCTGTGTATACAGTTCACTCATATCCAACCCATCGCGCTTCAAACGAATTTTTCTTTGCGCTGTCGTCGTATAAGGTTGAAAATGTTTTAAATCGAATTTTACCGAAGACGCGTTGCATTGAGCGTCCATGTTCTTTGTAAGAGTCGCATCTTATCTTTTGATGCTTAAGGTCGCTCAATAAGAACTGCGGGATGCTTCGAAGATCCTTTGGCAACTGCAAATTAGACGACGTTTGCTAATGATATGATGGTATGAATGAGGTTAGTAAATCTTGACCTTTCATTTGATGTTGTGAGCACATTCCTCTAGGTTTCAGAGGAGTGACAAACAATACAGCGGGGATGATAAGATCTTGCATTGAAACGATTGACTAAGCGATTAACAATAATGTGAGGAGATTTTCAGTATTTCACATAACTCTTCTTTTTTTTTTTTTTGGAGTTCATATGTCCACTCTTTTCACTTCTTTATATGTCTGTACAAAGAGATTATATTTAATTTTGCGTTATCTACATGCAACCTGTGTATTATTCCTTCTTCATTTTGAAAAGTTTGCATTTTGTCTGTCTCTTTATATGGCAGTTTGCGACGGTATTCGTATCGCTGCCATCGAAGCCATCAAAAATTATCAAGACCAGCAGCATCAGTAACAGTATTTCTTCTTATGTACCATGAACGCTGTGGCGCACAAGTTTAATGCACACATAAACCTTCATGTGAGCACTTACATGGCAACCATACGTTCACTTGCACACATAACATATATGAATATGTTCGTTTACATGAATATTAGTGATTGGTTTTACTTGTCGTTGGTGTATTTGTGGTTGATTGTAAAAGGTGGTACGGTCGTACCAGAAGGCGATGTTAAAACTTGTGCCGGAGAAAGTTTCTGCTTTCTGAAAATATATCAACCTCCAATAGCAAACAAACAAACAAACAATTGCGGTTTTAAGTGCAATTTTGTTTGCTGTCCACACACACAGAAACACATACATACAATGTATGTATATTCAACTCTCATTCTTTTTTTTTTTTTGTTTTTTATGCTTCTATTATTTCTGCTTTTTTTGGAATTTTTTTTTTTTTTTTTTTTTTTTTTTTACATTTTATGTTCAATAAAATTTGGTTTGCAAATTCGACAAACCAAAGCAAATCAAATTTACTTGCTGTCGTCAGTAGAGTGTGGGCGAAGGAGGGGTTGGAGAGTGCGGCTGCGAAGGAGGGAAGGTGGGATTGAGACAGAATAAAGAGAGAAATAATTTGAAATGGTTCCGTATCTTGTGTGTGTACTTGGAAAACTATTCGATATGTAACTGAAAAGTTTTACAGAGTTTCTCAATAAATTGAATTAAGAAAGAAAGTTTCTGACTATATGTGCTGACTATATGCTGCGTGTGCTTATACATTTGTGTACGGCCATGTGCATGTATGCTATTAGCCATACCAAGAACGACTATAGTGTGTCGTTGACCAGAGCTCGTTATATGACTCAGATTACATTTCGAAAATTATTCGAATGCTTGTAAACTCATTTGGGTTCTTATTATTGTTTTTTTACTTTTGTTGTTCGTTTTCCTAAGAACAGGGCAGACTTTCCCGTCTGCCGCAAATGTGTCTCTACCGTAAATCCCACGAACGTAAACTGTCTTTAAAAAAATTGAACTTTAACTTTTATGTTATGATGTTTCTAACGAAACTTATCACTCATCTAACAATATAACGCTTAAGGCGTGCGAACGAAGCTGTATTACTAATCGTTTAAATGGCGCTAGACATATAAGAAAATTGAACTTAATTTGCATAATTTTTTTATATATAAAAAAAGAGGAAGAAAAATAAATATATTAGTTATGCTGTTTCGCGTGTGCCATTCAAGCATACTTTGTGGAAAGGCAATAAAAACCAGTTCAATGAACACATGTGCTAATTGGCTGTTCATGAGGCTTAGCTTCACCAATAGTAACGCAGCTTCTCATAGAGAGCAGAAGGTTTTCGCAAGACTGATGCGAAATGGAACTGCTTGGAGATGAAAGAAGTTATTACAAATTTTTGAGAAGTAATAAGAATGGAGACTGAAAGTTCGGTGCGATTTCAACACTTCTGTTATTAGAGAAAATGCAGTTCAAATATATTTCATTCCTTCTTCACATTTCAAAGTACGTAAGCTGCTCTCACGCTTAACTTCTACCTCGTCGTTGTTATGCTTTATAAATGCATTCAATAATCGATTAGAAACCTTGGCTCAATTAATAACAGGCTCCTGGAGATCGATCACAATGGGTTGTCTGATAAGTAAAAAAAACATGATCTCTCTAAGCGCCTTCTTACCACTATTTGCCTGCTTTGCCCAATCCCTTGAAGCAAAGCCAAAATGCCAAGACATTTTCTGAGATGGGCGGAAGGTTTTCTTAACGTGAAAAGGCAAAGAAGGCATGGCGGAGGTGCAAACGCGGCATGATCTTCTCGTTTTCTCTGACAAACCACGGGCAAGCACATGTAACCCGGCATGACGTGTTTGTTCTCTCTGTCAAACCATACATAAATAAACCTCCTTCGCTCTTACGAATCTTGTTTGTGAAGGAATGATCAAAGCCAATTATCAGAAAGCTCTCTTTTAATCGCCTAAAAATACGAATGTAATAATAATAACCTTACGGCTGATCAGTAGCGAAAAACTTACTTCCTGCTCATAAGTTCTTTCACTTCCCTAGTGTCGATAATATGCATTTACCAGAGAAACTCTACGACCACTGTGCTTTTGGGACTTTATGTGCCGGTCGGACATTTGGCAATAAACGTTTGGGCAGTTTTGTGACGGCTGTGACGGCCCAACTCGCAGGTTGGGCTAAGTCGTCAGACCAAGGTTCAGGAGAAGAGTTGAAAACCGAAAATCATTGCCTTGCTGCATAAAAAGTGATAAAATGTGGTAATGTGACGTCCGCAAGACCTTCTTGTCCTCATTTGGTTATTCCGGCGTTGTCTAGTGATCGGTTGATCATCTCATTCACTGGTTTGCCTCTATTCAAAAGAAAAGCTTCCTTTAATTGGTCCATCACGATAAAGCAAGAAAATGATGAACTGTCTACTATGGATAAAGTGAAGGACGAAGACCAATTTATTTAAATTAGAGAGAATCGGCAAAAGATCATAGGTCGACCTAGCGTAAAACACATAAATAACGCCGGCATTAATTATAATTCAACGTAATTAAAACAGCGCAAAGCAATTTTTAAAGGAACGTTTGATGATGGCG